AGCCCGTTCCTCCCTTGGCCTCTGCCTTCGGCCCAGCCCAACTTCAGCGGCCCAAACCTCAAACCGGCCCAGAAGCTACGGTTCAGTTGAACCAACCCAGACCAGACCCACGGTCCAATTGAGTCGGCCTGCAAACCAAACTTCTGCGGCCCAGCCCAGTAAGCCGAGGCCCAACGATTAGTCTTGGCCCAGTAGCCCTCAACAGCCCACGACTCGAACCACGACCCGAACCGGGCTGCGACCCGCGCTTCGACCCGACACTGCCGCCCGACGTGGCTTTCTCTGCTACTGCCACGTGTCACTCAACGGCGCAGGCAGTCCCTCGGCTCGGCTCGGCGCAAACGGCTCAAGCTCCCTCCGGCGACGCTCCGGCGGCTCCTCCGGCGGCTCCAGCGGCTGTTCGGCTCGGCTCACCTGTTTTCAGCCCGGTTTCCACTGTTCCGACCCTCTCGAATCTGTTTTCGGCCCCGATTAAGGTATCCGAGGCCGTTTCAGAGCTGTATTTCACATTTATTAAATTATAGGTAAATTAATTGTGAAATACTAACGGAAAGTGGTGGACGGTGTGATAGGAAACAAACCCCGGGGACGTAGGGAGCGGCTCTCACGGAACGGGAGCTTACGTTTAGCGATTTAGGGAGTACTTTGGCCAAGGCCAACCAAGTAAGTGGCCTTACTATAGGATAGGCTAAATAAATTGTATGATGCTTGATGTTATGTGCCAGCATATACATATTTTGTTGAGTGACGCTTGATATGTTTGACGCACGTTGTGGCATTATGATGAGCATGATGATTGCATGATTTTTACCTTAATATGATGATGTTTTCCATATTGAGCATGCTAGATGATGATGAGTGCCATATTGCATCATGTCGTTAGATCGACGTAGGACACAACCCTAAGAGTATGAAAATGATAGTAATATAAATATCCACGAGTATGCGTTACCTAGAGTAACAAAGAGATGAGACTAGAGGGTTGTGTCAGAAGAGACATTACGATGGATTTAGAGGGACCTCATGCATTTTGTATGTTCATAAGCATAGGGCTACTTCCCCTAGAGATGATGAGTGCGGACGCGCACCTTACGATGAGCGCGAATGCGCACAGGTGCGAAAGCACACAGATGAGGGTGTTCATGAGGCGCATGACACTATGGGGTTCCGCTAACCTCCGGACGTCGCTACAGATTAGCTTGACCAGAGGGTCCAGAGGGCGTGCGAGCGCCCTGGGGACTCACATTCGCACGTGTGGGTCGTGTGTAGGGAAGTACTACACATCCAATTTGTCCGAGATTGGAGGCCACCCCTAAGATGATTATAGATAGGTCCCTATTCATGTTTGCATGTGTTTGCATTAGCATGGCCCCTATAGTGGGGTCACTTACTGAGTATTTCTTCGAAATACTCAGGCCGTGTGCCATATTGTTTTTTTCAGGTAAAGGCAAGGCGCCCATGTACGGTTGACGGTGGCATCGTGATCAGAGACTGTGGCGCGTGCATAGGATAGATGCATGTTTAATTCCTAGTCTTAGTTAGAATAGGGCGTTTGCAATTCATTCATTTATATTAATTAATTTGTAGTCGTTTTATTTTATTTTTTTTGGAACTCTAGCACAATGTTTGAAACACGTAAGTCCGGCAGTGTTTTCCAATGTTTTAATGTATTCTGAAGTTTTAAATTTTTCCGCTATTAAAGATGAGCATGCTTAGATTTTTATTCTGCATTAGAGATGAGCATGAGACGTTAGTGGCGACTCTGGATATGTGGAAATTTAGGGTCGTTACAGTGTCTCTTACTGGGTTTTCTTTCTTTTAATTATCTCTCTGTTTGAGAATGACTTTTAATATCATTAAATAAAATAAAAGGAAAACTATTGACCTCTTCAAATGCAATATCTCTTCTTACCAAAATATCTCTTTCTACTAAAACAACACTTAATCTGAACCCTTTTTGTGCTTGTTTAAGAAATTCTGATTAGTTAAATCTGTTTAATTCTTTTTTTTTATTTTTTTTTGCTATTTTTTCAATTAGGTTGCAATTACTTCTGGCCAATTTAATCGATTCTATTTTGTTTATGCTATTGATCGTGACGTATCTTCCTAATTAAATTGCTAAATAAAACTAAATAGTTGGATAAAAATATAACTTACAGAGAAATCTCAAATCTCTCTCCCTTCTCCCATGTAAATCTTGATCTCAATCCATCTCCTATAAATTTGATGTGAGGCATGTCTGTTTTCTCAAATCTGATATTTTTCATTTCTGTTTCATTTGACAGGATTGTGAGGTGTGTTGAGGAGAGATTATGGGAGAAGTGACTTACTGGGGAGAAAAGAGGAATAATGGGTTTTTTTTTATTTACTTATTTATTAATTTATTATTATTATTATTATTATTATTTTATACATAATAATAATTTTTATTTGTTTATTTATTTATTTTTGGGCTGTTACATAGATGGTCTCCTTCAGCTCTCCGTTGAGGAAAGCGGACTTCACGTCCATGTGGTGGACCTCTCAAGAGCAATGTGCCATAATCACCAGCAAGAGGCGGACGGATTCCAACCTTGCCACCGGTGGGAATACCTCTTCGAAGTCGTCTCCCTGCTTCTGGACGTAGCCCTTCGCCACCAGATGGGCCTTGTGCTTCACAACTTCTCCCTCTACGTTACGCTTTAGTTTGAACACCCATTTGAGTCCTATGGCTCGGTGTCAATGGCATGTCCTCCAGACTCCACGTTTTGTTCTCAATGATGGATGTCATCTCTTCCTGCATTGTCTTCAGCCAGCACAAGTTCCTTTCTGCTTCGGCCATTCGCAGTGATGGCATGCAGTTCGACCACCTCTTCTTCGAGCTCACGCACCGCCAGTCTCGATGGTTCACCTCCTCCAAGTAGGTCTTCAATCCTCTAGTACCTGGATGCCAAACCATCATCGTGGTCCGCATTCAACGTCGAATCCGCAGTACACGGTGTTGCGAGCTCCACTAGTTCAAGGGGCATAGCAGGAATTGTGGTCGGTGTTAGCGTAAGCATAGGCGTGCCCGGTGCTACGCTCCTTCTTTCTGGCTTGGTGATGAGATACTCCACTGTGAATTGTTCTGGGGTCTGGACCGCCTTGACCACGTCGTTCCACTGCCAGAAAGTGCTCTCGTCGAAGACAACATCGTGCGACACGTGAGTTTGTTCCCCCGTAGGATCATAGAGCTTGTATGCCTTGCTCCTTGGTTCTTCGTGCTTCTCCATGTTGATTTAGATTGACAGATAGTATTAAAAAGATGGTTTTTGTGTGTATGAATAAGTTTGTGTTACTGTTACAGGATGGATGGTGGTGCAGACGGAGGGGCGAACTCGCTATAAACACAGCAATACGTTTATAGGACCGTACACTTCGATAGCGTCATGTGCTGAACTTTGCATTTCTTTTGGGAAGTGGGATGCAGATTTTGCTCGGGTGATAAATGCACTTGTATGAAGCAATGTGCTAAGTCCATGCTTTAATGGGTTTGTAATTCACCACAGTTGTTGCTATCTATATGTAATAAGAGACTCCAATTCTACTGAATTGCACAACAAGTTACTCATCAAAGCTTCCTTCTTCCATTTTATAATTTTTATCTCAACTGGTATGTTCAAATTGATAGAATCACAAGTTTCTTTAGTTGCGTAAGTGGATGCAATCAAGTTCAAAGCTTCGTGCTTCGTGCTTCCTTCTTCCTTCTTCCTTCTTTCTTCCTTTGCACTATGTATTGTCACATCGATTAGGCAAATTAATCAACAAATTTTTTTAAAAATATTAATGAATGTTTTGAAAACTTAAAGATATTATTGGAAGACTTCTAAAAAAAATTAAAGAAACCTTTTAAATGTATTTTAGAAACAAAATATTTCTCTCCAAAATAAGTATTTTAATTTTTTTTTATTTATTTTAAAGGTAAGAATGTTATTAAAAAAAAATTAAATTTAAGTTTTTATAAAAAAAATTTATTTTATTAATTTAACCAAACAAATAATACATAGATCGAATATTTTTATTAATAAAAACTTTTTTTCTTTATTAGTTTTTTTAGCATATTTTATACCTAGATTGAATAAGTTCATAAAAAAGGAGACTCCAAAGAAAAACAAAATTGAGAGAAAATCCTATTGCTTTCTTTAAATCCTACTACTGAAGCTTTCAAGGCTTTGATTTGGGATTTTCCCAAAAGGCTCGTACAATGGAGATAGTATTTCTTGATTATAAACTCATGAACATTCTCTAAATTAGCCGTTGTAGCACTTTCATGATCCAACATGATCATACCTCCTCGCTCACTACCTCACATTATTTGGTTAGTGTTGTAAACACAAAAATTAAAGCGTTGAAATCAATTACATTATCAAACAAATCAACTTGGTTGCCTTTTATAGCTTACAAACTAACAAATGTAGAAAGGATAAAATTAACTAACTCTAAATAGAGGGAAAAACAACCACCCACTAATTAACTTAGTGGTTCTAACCTTCCGGTGGACATCCTAAAGAAATAGCAGCCATTTCATCCCTAGACAACCGGTCTAGTATGACCATCTTTAACAATTTCTCCCCTAAACTGATTGCAGGGAGGCTTTTAGTTTACTCGTAGTACTACACACATACCCATTGACTCACGTAGTTTTATGAATGCATCCAGATTCAGTGGTTTCGTCATAATATCTGCAACTTGTTCTTGTTTAACACAATGTTTCAACTCAATCAATGTTAACCTAATGGACTAGACAAGAATAAAATAAAATAACTTCCTTTTAAATCAAGAACGGCCAGCATAGACGTTGCAAAGCGTGACTATTCTTTCCATGAAATCGCAAGAATAAAATAAAATAACTTCCTTTTAAATCAAGAATGGCCAGCATAGACATTACAAAGCGTTACTATTCTTTCTTTGAAATCGCAAGAATAAAATAAAATAACTTCCTTTTAAATCAAGAACGACCAACATAGACGTTACAAAACGTGACTATTCTTTCCTTGAAATCGCAAGGAAATCAAGATGACGTTACAAAGATGAGGTGTTTCACTGATATAAAATGGGGAACTGATATCCAAACATTCCAGTGTAGTAAGCAATAAGGGAAGAAAAAAATGGCGGGACAAAGCTTGAGAAATCTCAAAGTTGTGGTGTTCATCTTCCTAGCTCTTGCTTCTGGTACTTGATCCTTCTCTTGATTTAGATTGACAAGTAGTGTTAAAAAGAAGGTATTTGTTTATATGAATAAGTTTGTGTTACTGTTGTAGGATGGATGGTGGTGCAGACGGAGGGGCGGACTTGCTATAAACACAATGATGCATTTATAGGATCGTGCACTTCGACAGCAGCATGTGCTGACTTTTGTATTACTTTTGAGGGGTGGGATGATGGATTTTGCTCGGGTGATAAATGCACTTGTACGAAGCAATGTGCTAAGCCCATGTTTTAATGGGTTTGTAATTCACCACAGTAGTTGCTTTTTAAATGTAATAAGCGACTGCAATTCTACTGAATTGCACAAAACTCATCAAAACTTCCTACTTCCTTCTTCCATTTTATAATTTTTATCTCAACTCGCAAGTTCAAATTGATACAGTCACAAGCTTCATTATTTGCGTAAATCGATGTAATCAAGTTCAAAGCTTCCTTCTTCCTTCTTCCTTCTTCCTTCTTCCATTGAACTATGGTTGTGACAAACTAAACAAGGTTGATTTCATTGAGTATTTTTTAATTTTTTTAAAAATGTTTAAAAATATTTTTGAAGATGTTTTAGAACTTTTTGAAGATATGAACTTTAAGAACCTCAAAGAATTAGATATGAATAAATGAAACGACCCTAAATTTCCACATACTTAGAGTCAATACTAACGTCTCATGCTTATCTCTAATGTGAAAATATAACTCTTACATGAACATCATTTATAACTTAAATTTCGAAAAACCCTTAAAACAACTTCTTCTCTGGAAAACATAGCTATGATCTTACGTGTTTAAATATATGATCTTACATGTTTAAATACAAAATACTGCAATTTAGAGAAAATAAAAACAAATACAAAACAGTTTAAAACAATGAAATGAAAAACAACCTATTCAAACTTAAGACTAGGACTTTAAATATGAGTCTACCATATGCATGTGTCACAGTCTCTGCTCACGATGTAGCCATCCTCCGTAAAAGTGCACCTTGCCTTTACTTGAAAAATGATGTGTCACACGGCTTGAGTATTTCAAAGAATACTCAGTAAGTGGCCTGTAACGACCCGAAAAAAAGAAAAAAAGAAAAAAAAAATAATAATTATAAAAAAAAAAATAAAAAAAAAATAAAGTATGGACCCTCTCTCCACCTTCCCCAAATATCTCCCAACACCTCCAACTGCAAAGGGATCTGCAAAAGAAAGATCTGATAGGAAGGGAAGAGATAGAAAATTTATGGGTAAGTTAGATCTCTTCTTTTATTTTTGCAGGAGATAGAAAAATGATCTCTCTTTCTTCAATTATTTAGATTTTTGGATCTCTTCTCGGAAATCAAAATTGATTGAAAATGGTTTTGTCAATGGCATGAATCATCATTTTTAGAAAAGAGAAGAAAATCATAGTTGATTGATGCATAGTCAGTTTTATGAAGGAAATTAGAATGGATTGTAAATGAATTTGATAATCATTTGGGAAAGAGAAAGAAAAAAGAATAGTTTTATAATTGCATAATCATTTGTAGGAAGAAAAAAAAATACAGAGAGAAGAGAACAAAGAGGTACAAGAAAGAAAATGGAAAATGTGAAAAATTATTATTGTTTGTATCCAGATAATATAATATTATTACAAACCATAATTGGATTGATGATTCAAAGCAGCATGAAATAATATTGACATATTTTCAATTTGAGTTTTAGAAAATTTAGAAACAATGAAAACTTGGAATTCGATTTTTACTGAGACCATTTTAGAGCCGTATTTCACATTGTTAGTTGGATTATTAATTAAAATGTGAAATACTAACAAAAGATGACGAACGGTGGGATATGAAGCGAACTCCAGCAACCTTTAGAGCAACTCTCGAGGAACGGGAGCTTACGTTAATTAAATTAGGGAGTACTTCGGCTAAGGCCAACCAGGTAAGTGGCCTTACTATAGGATAGGCTAAAAATTGTATGAGTTACGATGTTGTATGAACTATGTCGTATGATGCGGTATATGAGTTATGATGATGTATGACTTATGATGATGTGTGGGTTATGATACCTGATGATGTGCTCAGTATTTATATATTTTGATGAATGTCGTACTTGATATGCTTGATGCACTTTGTGGCAATATGATGAGTATGATGATTGCGTGACGTTTACCTTAATATGATGATGTTTTCCATATTGAGCATGCTATATGATGATGAGTGCCATATTGCATCATGACGTTAGATCGACATAGGACACAACCCTAAGAGCGTGAAAATGATATTAATATAAATATCCACGAGTATGTGTTACCTAGAGTAACAAAGAGATGAGACTAGAGGGTTGTGTCAGAAGAGACATTATGATGGATTTAGAGAGACCTCATGCATATTGTATGTTCATAAGCATAGGGCTACTTCCCCTAGAGATGATGAGTGCAGATGCGCACCGTATGATGAGCGCGTATGCGCACAGGTGCGAAAGCACACAGATGAGGGTGTTCATGAGGTGCATGACACTATGGGGTTCCGCTGACCTCCGGACGTCGCTACAGATTAGCTTGACCAGAGGGTCCAGAGGGTGTGCGAGCGCCCTAGGGATTCACACTCGCACGTGTGAGTCGTGTGTAGGGAAGTACTACACATCCAATTTGTCCGAGACTGGAGGCCACCCCTAAGATGATTAGAGATAGGTCCCTAAATCATGATTGCATGTGTTTGCATTTGCATGGCCCCCTATAGTGGGGCCACTTACTGAGTATTCTTTGAAATACTCAGGCCGTGTGCCACATCATTTTTCAGGTAAAGGCGGGGCGCACTTGTATGGAGGACGGCGGCATCGCGAGTAGAGACTGTGGCACGTGCATAGGGTAGACTCATATTTAAATTTCTAGTCTTAAGTTAGAATAGGTTGTTTTGCATTTCATTGTTTTAAATTATTTTGTATTTGTTTTTGTTTCTCTAAATTTCAGTATTTCATATTTAAACACGTAAGACCATGGCAGTGTTTTCAAAGGAGAAGTTGTTTTAAACGTTTTCTTGAAAATTTTCATTATCAATTATGTTCATGTAAGAGTTATATTTCCGCATTATAGATGAGCATGAGACGTTAGTAGCAACTCTGAGTAGGTGGAAATTTAGGGTCGTTACAGTTGGTATCAGAGCTCTAGGTTTTAGATTCTATAGACTAGCCTACAATGTAGGCTGGGCACGTTCCATGGTCCCAACGTCGATGCTCCGTCACTGTCAGGTACGCCTTGCACAAGATAAGAAAAGAAAAACATTTTCAAACTCGCATGCATTTTTATGTTAATGTTACTGAAATTGTTGTTATATTTCACGTATTTATTTAAGAGCATGATGTGATGTGTTGCGTGCTTAGTGATTTTCTTTGCAATATGATGTGAACTTAGTAGATGTGATGCATAGCATAATTTCATAGGTAATGAGCCTTAGACTTGAGAGATGCTATCTTGGTTTCTAGAACCATGCTGCTTAGACCATGCGAAAGAGTAAGACGAGGAAGGGGACGACCTCCTATTAGAGATAGAGGATGAGGTGAGGCTGAAGAGAGCCCACCTCGAGAGGNAGAAAACGTGTCCATTGTAAATGAGTTCCCAAATGTGTATCTGGATGACCTACCTGGAATACCCCCTTCTCGAGCGGTCGACTTAGTCATCGAACTCGAGCCGGGAACTGGGCCTATTCCTAAAGCAGCCTATCGCATGGCGCTAGCAGAGTTGAAAGAACTCAAGGCGCAATTACAAGACCTACGGGATAAAAGGTTCATTCGACCTAGCATATTCCCCTAGGTTGCGCCAGTGTTGTTTGTTCAGAAGAAAGATGAATCGATGTGTTTGTGCATCGATTATAGAGAGTTAAATAAGAGAACCATAAAGAACAAATACCCTCTGCCTAGAATAGAAGACTTATTCGATCAACTAAGAGAAGCAATGATATTTTCTAAGATAGATCTACGATCAAGTTATCATTAAATAAAGAGTAAAGAAAAAGACGTACCAGAGATAGCATTTAGGACAAAGTATGATCGCTACAAGTTCGTGGTGATGTCATTTGGCCTCACCAATGCTTCAGCTGTGTTAATGGAGTTAATGAACCGAGTGTTCAAAGACTGTCTAGACACTTTTGTGATCGTGCTCATTGATGACATCCTAGTGTGCTCAAAATCAAACTTGGAACACCATAAACATATCTAAAAAGTCCTAGCCACCCTAAGAGAGAACAAGTTGTATGCCAAGTTCTCAAAGTATGAATTTTGGTTACGATAAATCTCTTTCCTAGGATACGTGGCGACAAAAGACGGAGTATCCGTAGATCCTACTAAGGTCAAAGCGGTCACAAAGTAGGAACACCTAACTTCGGTAACATCAGTACAGAGTTTCTTGGGACTAGCGAGATACTATCAAAGGTTCGTGTAGCACTTCGCTAGAATAGCCTCGCCTTTGACACAACTAACGAGAAAAGGGGTACCATTTATATGAAATGATGCTTGTGAGGCAAGCTTCCAAAACCTAAAAGAGAGATTGGTAACCGTCTCGGTACTCACGGTACCCGAGATCTCAGAAGAGTACGTAATCTATAGTGACGTCGTTAAAGAATGGACTAGGATGTGTGTTAATGCAACACGGTAAAGTTGTTGCATATGCGTCCCGTCAACTAAAAGAATACGAAGATAATTACCCTACCCACGACCTGGAGTTGGCCGTTGTAGTGTTCACGCTGAAATTTGGTGACACTATCTGTATGGAGAGAAAATTCAAAGTTTAACCGACCACAAGATTTTAAATATTTCTTCACCCAGAAAGAGTCAAATATGAGACAGAGAAGGTGGTTAGAATTGGTGAAGGACTACGATGTAGATATCCAGTACCACCCTAGAAAAGCAAACGTGGTCGCAGACGCTTTGAGTAGAAAGTTGGCCCACTCTTTGACCCTCATTACAAGGGAAGTAAGGGTACAAAGAAAATTCGAGGGAGCCAACATAGTGTAGCGACTAAGAGAGTCATGGCACAGCTGGCTGACTTACAGTGCAACCTACACTTAGGCAAAGAATGGTTACCTCCCAACGAGAGGATCCAAGCCTACAGAAAGTCCTAGGCAAGCTAGACAAAAGTCCTAGGCCAGCTAGACAAAAGTCTAGTAGACAGGTTCTCGAAGTCCTCAGATAAGAACTATTGTATTAGGGATGCCTATGTGTCCCAGAGAAGTTAAGGTAGAAGATACTAACGGAAGCTCACAACTCGCCATTTGCCATGCACCCAGGAGGTACAAAAATGTACCAAGATTTTAAACAACAT